ACTTTGATGATTCTTGTGTTGATGAATCGATTCGTGGAACGACTGGGGCATTTGAGCCGAATGGATTAATGAATCTGCCCTTGGCCTAGCGGGTCCACAATCGCAGCACATCGAATAACACGTTTATATCGATTCGTGGAACGATTGGGGTATGCGTGCCGAATAGATTGATGAATCTGCCCTTGCCCCAGCGGGTCGACAATCGCAGATCACCGAATAACAGTTTCATGATTCTTGTGTTGAATCGATTCGTGGAGCGGCTGGGTCATTTTAGCCGAATGAATTGATGAATTTGCCACTGGCCCAACAGGTCCACAATCGCAGCACACTGAATAACACGTTTATACCGATTCATGGAACGGCTGGGGTATTTGAGCCGACTGGATTGATGAATCTGTCCTTGCCCCAGCGGGTCCACAATCGTAGCTCACCGAATCACATTTTCATGATTCTTGTGTTGAATCGATTCGTGGAGCGGCTGGGTCATTTTAGCCGAATGAATTGATGAATTTGCCACTGGCCCAACAGGTCCACAATCGCAGCACACTGAATAACACGTTTATACCGATTCATGGAACGGCTGGGGTATTTGAGCCGACTGGATTGATGAATCTGTCCTTGCCCCAGCGGGTCCACAATCGTAGCTCACCGAATCACATTTTCATGATTCTTGTGTTGAATCGATTCGTGGAGCGGCTGGGTCATTTTAGCCGAATGAATTGATGAATTTGCCACTGGCCCAACAGGTCCACAATCGCAGCACACTGAATAACACGTTTATACCGATTCATGGAACGGCTGGGGTATTTGAGCCGACTGGATTGATGAATCTGTCCTTGCCCCAGCGGGTCCACAATCGTAGCTCACCGAATCACATTTTCATGATTCTTGTGTTGAATCGATTCGTGGAGCGGCTGGGTCATTTTAGCCGAATGAATTGATGAATTTGCCACTGGCCCAACAGGTCCACAATCGCAGCACACTGAATAACACGTTTATACCGATTCATGGAACGGCTGGGGTATTTGAGCCGACTGGATTGATGAATCTGTCCTTGCCCCAGCGGGTCCACAATCGTAGCTCACCGAATCACATTTTCATGATTCTTGTGTTGATGAATTGATTCGTGGAGCGGCTGGGTCATTTGAACCGAATAGATTGATGAATCTGCCCTTGGCCCAGCGGGTCCACAATCGCAGCACACCGAATAACACATTTATGCCGATTCATGGAACGGCTGGGGTATGTGCTCGGCGCACGACCCGGTCGGCGCTAGGTTGTTTGGCGCTTCGACATTAAGGAGATTGCCTTGGAGGTGCTGTCCCCGCAGATAATAAATGGGTGTGTACTTCGTGAACGGGGGTCCTATTTACGTGCTCATTTAGCAGTTCATTCCAGCTCTTTCGAGGAAGATTAAACAAGCGAGAATGTTAGATAAACTTTTCTTCAACAACAAAGGAGAAGCAAAGACGCTAGCTGAGCTGGGAGGAGCCATGAGTCGAAGTGGTGAGCCTTCACGCACGGGCAATAAGACTTCGAGGGATCGGGAAGGACGCCAATCTCCTCGTCGTTGGAGTAGGTCGCCTAGGAAGGACAAACAACCTCACCGTAAGTCTCCTCAACCAGGTCCAGGCAGGCAATCTGACGCGACTCCTTGTCCATTGAGTTTCGCGGTCTTTGTGGGTAATAGACCAATGACAGAGGTGGACTTAATTATTTGAGATCCAAACGTGGGAGTCGAGTTTGCTCGACAGATTTTCCCGCCCGAAGTTCAGCAGCCGATGGTAGGTCGACAGGATTTCAAAGTGTTTTGCGAAGGTGTTCACGGGGCGGTGAGGGGACTATACACGGCTTACGAGATTGGCATGCGTCTCCGCGTCGCTCATCGCGATATCGAACAGAGAGATGACCGCATTCGGAAATTGAAGGCTCGCGTCGAGAAGGCCGAGCGCGAACTAAGAAAAATCAAGTCTGCAGGGCCCCAATCGACCAGCCACCCCAACTCGATTGTTGAAGAGAGGGTTACTCAAAGGCTGATTAACGAAGCGATCGCCAATCAAAATACGACTAGCATGTTTGTGGTCGAGATTGTGAGGACAACGACTTATGAAAAAGGCTTCCACGACGGCCGAAAGATCGAAATTCAGAAAACCAAGGAGAAGCTCGCCGAAGAAGTCTGCCGATGCGAAAATCGCGGATTTAAGCACGGTTGGATCAAGGCGCTTCATCAAGCGGAGAGTCTCTGGACAACAGGGCTGGATTCGGCATTTCCGTTGTACCAACAAAATGATCTTCCCTTCTCTGCATTTGAAATTGAGAAGAGCGATGACGAAGAAGACGACGACCCGAAGAAAACTTTGTAATACTTTGTAATGCTTTGTAAAAGTGAACTTATGTATTTACTAGCTGAATTTAATAAAATGTTTGATTTTCAGTTCTTTGTAGTAGCGCACTTGTTATTTATATTAGTATGCCCTTTATTTATATTAGATGCTTGGGCTGCTTGAACATTCTTATTCGGAATTTGAAAATTTTCTTCATTAAAACAGGAAAAAAGAAGTGTGTAGTAGAAAAAAACTGAGAGATAGAATGAAAGAGGCAGACATAGAGAGAAGATTGTACGCCGGCAAACATTTAGACGAATCTGACGTAGATATATTCAGATTTGCTCTAAATCTAAACATTTTGATGCTTCCTTGTGATCTTGGCCAAATATAAGTAGATCTAAGTATATCTATGTTAAGAATATCGTCGGAAGCTCTTCTTTTCTTTTTGTCGTCGGTGAGGGCGAAGTAAGGAGTCGGTGATCAGTGGTTGCCAATGAACCTCAATCGATGGTGGTGGCTAGTCGCCAATCGCCAATCGCCTTTGAGTGTATATCAAAAAGAGAAAAAAAAGAAGAAAAGAGCCTTAGGATTTTTTAGTCTACACAAAAAATTATGAGACTAAATAGAGTAGAGTTCTTT